ATACTCTGAGCTAACTGAAGGCAAAAGTGATTTTTACTTCTTCAGATATGCCTCTTCTGTTGCTCAGCATACTTGGGTTATTGAAAAGAAAAAAATACCCAATTATGAACTTTGTATAGGTGTAAGGCAAACTTCAGAAAATATAAAAGTGCATAATAAAGGAAATAAAAATTCTACTCACTGGTGAGAACCATTATTAGAGACATTCATGCTTATTCTTTCAGTCTTGTTTTTTTGTACATACAGATTGAGAGCTTTTTGTCAGGGATATATTATTGTACATGCAGTTTGTTATCTGCTTTAAAAACCTATATCCTCTAGTGTGATGAGATAACCCTTTGACCCATGAGTTTTAATGACAGCCTAGTATTCCATCTAAACACTGTATGCTTTACTCTAAAAATGAGATGATAAAACAGAAATAAAGAAAGTTGACTATGCCTGGGAATCTACAATAATGTATGACCCCATTGATGTATTTCTACATGGCCAATTATTGATTTTTATCTGTGATAATTATAGAAGTTAATGTGGATTTACCAATTTCAGAGAAAGCTGAAAAATAAAGGCTCTGTTAAATCATTGGAATCTCAGATTACTCCTATTTTGTGCACTAATAAAATCTTCAGGAGCTGGGTGTGGTGGCACATGCCTGTAATACCAGCACTCAGGTGGTTGGAGTAGGAGGATCACCAGATATTAGAAGCCAGTTTGAACTACATAGTGAGTTCAAGGCCAGCCTGAACTGCATACTGAGACCCCCCCACCCCATCTCAAACAAGACAAACAAAAAAACCTACAGAAGAGAAGGTGGGAGGAAAATAAAAGAAGAAAATTTGTCTCTTGAAAAAATTATTCTATAAGATACTACACTGATTCTTAAAAGATAAAGCAGTTTCAGAAAAGGCAAAATACCTAATAGGTGCATTCAAATCCTGTGTCTCTCTGCCCCTCAGTCACCAGAGGCTCCTCTGCAGATGGCTAGGGCATTAAGTATGTGTAAAAGTGAGGGAGAAGTGGAAGAGACATGGAAGTAAGATCTCCCTGGATGTACATCTGTTCCTTTCTGTCCCTGTTCCTGTCTCCCTTGGCATTCCAGCATCATAGCAAATGGTACTCCCAATTCTGCCATTTTTCTTGTAGCTATTTTTACCTCAAGACCACATCAGTTTGTAACTTGGTTTCAAGTCTGGTTAAACCAGTAACCTAATTATTAGCCTTGAATTCCACTATTCTTATAAGAACCTTATTATGAGCTATTTAAATATGATCTATACGTTGTTCCTTGCTCTTTGTAAAGTTACCTGGGTTTTAGGTTAGGAACAGACAATTTTCAAATCAATATCCACATTCTGTGTAAGGATCTTTGGACAATTAGTGGCTTCTTTGAAATCTATATCTAATAATCCTTGGTCTCCTGATTCAATGCTTCTCTTTCAAGCATGCTTTATTTAGTGTCTTGTTTTTCTGTACATAGAACTTAACACTATTGGGAGTTATCTCATTTCTAAGTTTTCTATGCCTCTCACAATATAACTTTAATAAATGAATTAAGTATATTTGTTAGAGATTTCACTCCAGCTTCCATGTTCCCATTCCTAGTATAATCAATTGAAAAACTTATCAACATATGTAAAATTCATATTTCATTTTATCATGTTTCCGACCATTTGGTTTCCTCTGATTACCAGCCATCAAGATATAAATTGAAGAATAAATTCACAGTATCAAATAATGAATTCAATGATCAGCATCAACACATATATGCCATGCTCTCCCATGTATTTGACAAGGATTTCTACCTAATGATTTGGATTTTTAATATATGTGATATACATAAAATTTTGAAATCATATTCTACTAACTTGGAAGATAATAAATGGTGGCAAAGACAACATTAAAAGCATCGAGGGGAATAAACAAAATATTTCATAGATTTTTTTATATCATTGAAGATTTCTTTATAAATTTTCTACAATGGTTTGAAGAAGGAAATATATCTGGATTTTAAGAAGTGATCTCTCCTTTTAAACATCAGCTTTGTTGAAAGCAATTTTATTAAACCATAAGAAAAATCAATATTCTCTTAGGTCTTAATTATTTCTTTGTGAAAATTTAAAGATTATCTTTAATTCAAATAAAACAAATATGGATGTGGAGTTGCAGTTGTAAGGATAAATTATTTAATTTAAATGTAGTCAACCATTCAAAATACACTTAACAGTGAACATGAGGTATTCACTTTTTCAGTAATGCTTGTCTAGTGCTATCAAGACATCTTTAGCCAATTATCTTGCTCAATTGACTAAGCATCTCCTACCTCATTTACTTGCATAAAGATGTAGCAGAAGAACTTCAGGAAGATATAATGATTTTATAGCAGCACACAAACAAGGGAGGAAAAAATTAACAGTGGAAAATAACTTATGCAAAGCAATATGACACCAAGAAAAATGATTAATGTGATTGTTTCTCCAATTTAAAGAGCAAGGCCATTCAAATTTTCAACTTATTTGAATACTTTGGTAAAATGTATAGAATAAACTATTTAAAAACTGTGTAGAAAAAAGTCTCCTATATTGTTTTATATTTTTCTTAGAATTTTTTCCTTTTCACATCTGATTAAATAAATATGTACATCCTTAAATGATGAAAATATTTTAAGAAGCAATTTTTCACTAATTATTTATTACTATGTGAATAAAAGTTAACTATGCAATAAATACAACTGAAGAATTTCTGGGGTTATAATAAACTTAAAGAAAAAAGAAACATTAATATATAGTAAAACCTAAGAGGGTTTAAAAAATATTTTTAAAAAAATCTTCAATAGACAGTATGATTGAAGACCTTAAAATGCTAAGAAGCCTAACAGTTTAGAGAGTATGTCTTCTAAAATCAATAATATAATTCACTGAAGACCCAAAACAATTTTCTTTAGTAAATTTGTGTTCATTTGTTAGGTATTTCTCCCCATTTGATAAGATAAAAATTTTTTTTTTCTTTTTTTTTTTGGTACCGGGGATCGAACTTTGGTCCTTGCGCTTGCACAGCAGGCAGCGAAACCACTGAGCTAAATCCCCAGCCCCAAGATAAAGTTATTTTTAAGAACTTTAGTGTAGTTTTTGAATAAATATAGAAGAAAATTGATTTTTAAAATGGAACGTTATCGTGAATAAATCTTTACTAATCCCTTAATTCTGTAATTTAATCAAAAATATAAGTGACAGCAGCATGGCTACTGAACTGACTACTCTATCATAACAAATAAGACTGTTAGGATTTTGAATAAGATGGTTTATTTTATTTGAAATAAAACGCAGGTTTCTGCCCTGATGTGCCAGGTCTGAAAAGTGGGCTGTCTTGTCTCCCTAACAGCCTCTAATCTGCCTGTGCTGCCACACTCAGCTTCCCCGTCTCTAGCAATCACACAGGAAGGCTTGGTTTGTGTTCAGAAATGCACCACCTTGCTCTAACAGATCTTTACTTTGCAGACATCCTGTGAAAAAGATGCAAAGGGATTACAAGCATCTCCTCTTAAAAATCAAAGATGTATGGATGCTGAAGTAGTGAGAGCTCTGGTCAGTGAATCAGGGATACCTAGGTTTCTTTTACCTCTCAGCTCCCTTTCTGAAGACAAATTCTTCATTTTATTTCTGAAACAATCTGAAAACTCTGCGAAGTAATGTGTAGCGTTATTAGTATCTCCGTGAAAGTTTGAGTTTTCACACTTCCGCCTATTTCTCAATAGCTGAGAGTAAAAAAAAATCTAGACTCTCATTTACAGCCCTATTTAGCTATATTTGTGATTTTTAAAATGTGAAAATAAACATTATATATAGCTATTGTCACAATAAGTTACACCTTTCAATTGGATATTTTGATCAAACAAATTTGCAACATATTCACGAAAATGTACCTTTGGAACCTCAACCCATTAAAAACAAGTATAATGTTTGTACATTTAAATTTGTCCCAAAACTTTAGAATGTATCTCTATTTACATGTAAAGGTTTCTATACAAAAATGTATCTGGTTTCTATATATTGAATATGTACATATAAAAATTTCTATAAAATTTAGTTAAAATGTCGATATACCACTGCCCTTTCAATCCATTTCAGAATCATAAGAGGAAGAAAATATAATTGTCTAAAAAGTTTGTATGAACCCTGGTTTTACTCTTGTTAAATACTTTTTCTTTTTTTTTTTTTTGTGCTGGGGATCGAACTTGGGTCCTTGCACTTGTGCAGCAGGCAGTGAAACTACTGAGCTAAATCCCCGGCCTTTAAATAATTTTTTTCAGTGAGTTTCCTAATGGTATTTTTGCAATGGGACTTGATTCAGGCACAAAGCACTTCCCACTCACTAGCAAAATAGCAGGCCAGGCTGAGTACACACTTTGAATTCATCCTTGGACAAAGTTACACATTTTTACATGTGACAGATCCTTACAGTTTCTGAGGTAAGTCTAAGCTTGGATTTAAAGTTAAATTCGAAGTGTCAAAGATCCATCCATAAAACAACATGGAAGTGTAAGGGAATATTTCTGAGTAAGACAGCAAGAGAACAAGAATCTTACAGATAGAAAGAAACACCAACAAAGCTCCACATGTAGCCAGTTTCCAATCCAAAGAGTAGAAAATTAAACAGATTTGCAGCAATGTTGATTAGCAACAAAACACAATCCTTTCATTAGAAGGAGTGACAGGCACAGATCCACGGCCACAGTACTTGTAAATCCCTGGTTAAGAGGTAAAACCGTCTCATCAAGGAACCCAAAATATCTGGGCAGCAACCTAACTTATTCAGCAGTGCAGATTCTTTACTAAAAAAACAGGGAAAATAACAACTAACTTATGGGAAGAATTTTTTAATAGAACAATGTTCATAAAAGTTTGTAAAATATGCAATGTTATAACTAATATGCTTATATCTTACAAACTACTTATACAAATTCTTATTATATTTATTAATACAAATAAGATGAAATTCCTTACCAAGGATGAATTCCAACTGTGGTTCATTTGGACTCTTCTGAATACCTATAAATAACAGATGTAAAGTCAGCTCTAAATATTTTAATTTATTATCAATGACAATATGCACTGCTAAGTTTCACTTTGATTTCAGTTTAGTAATCAGAATGAATAAACTTGAGCAATTAGGCCTAATAGTAGAATGCTGTCAGAACAGGGTATAATGTTATAGCAGAAATTGTGATTAAAGTTTTTATTGGTCCATTTAGCTCCATAAATATAAAGAAACTGAGAAATATTGTTTCTGTAACCATGACAAATATAAAACATATTTTTCAACTGTGTTTGTTTCTTTTGGAAAGATGCAGATAGAAGTAGAGCCTTTAAGAAGAACCATCTCTCCAAAGTACTCTCTTAAATGGATTTTCTTTCAAGCCACTTTGACCTGTTGTAAATAGAAAATCATTAAACTTCTCCAACGAGGTTCTGGTAGGCTTTGTGATGGTACCGGTTACCGGTTATTTTGGTATTTTATTGACAGGCTAAATCCACATTCTGTTGATTGTTTCTGCTCCTTTTGTCAGCAATGTGTAAAAAATATAACAACATGGCTAAATGATTTGAGATCAAGTAAGAGGAAAAGTGAATCTGAGAACAAAGGTGTGGAAACATAGACGTCTAATGGGCAGAGGATGGAATGATCAGGGTTCAGTAAATGATGATGTGGGGGTGCCGATGACCACACACTATGCAGGGTCTTCCTGGACAAGAGTGAATGACCCCTGGCAGTAAGAATGGGATACCATTGGTTACAATGCATGGGTGGCCAAAGAAGCAAAAATAAAACGTGTGGAAATTTAAACCATTTGGCAATAAATGTAATTCTACAAAAAGCTTTTTCTTGTTTATTTTTGCTAGTGCATTCATCAGACACTATTTAAATTTACTGGTGTTTGGTCACTAATACATTTCAAACAACCTCTTTGTATGAAAATAATGTTTTTATTTGGAATGTTAATATTTTTTGGCATAGTAACCATTTATTTTTTTTCTCTCCTGCTGACATTTAAGAATGCTATGGTTAACAATTTTCAATTTCTCAAGAGAGGTTATAGGAACAAGCATAGATAGGTCCTTGTAAAATTCAAATAGTCTAGATTTTTTAAAAGGTTATTAATAATTAACTCTGCAGTAAACTCTGACAAGCAAATTTCTTGAAAATGTATCCAACGGATACCATTTTCTAAAGAAAAATTTCATAATGTAAATTAAATGAGAAGGTTAGGCATATATTTGTCAGTGTTAAGTAACTGGTTAACAGAAATCTTCTGAAAGAAAAAGACCTATTCCATACTAAACAATAAAAGTTAAACCCTGAATTTTATGCATGAGAAAAAAAATAAAATTCTTTCAATGATTTTAATTAATCAAGTACCACAAAAACGATTTTAATGATCAAATGCAAACTTGGCCAAATCTCCAAGGTTGCTCTATTAATGTGAACCTGTGCTCTCTGGTAGAGCAGCAACAGTCCCTATTCTATTGTCTACAAAGTATCTCTGAAGAGTATTTATCAGTGTGTTAACATACGTTCAAGAACTTGATATACCATTTGATATTTAACCATGTCATGTATATCATCTGTCTTACTCAAGGTAAAAGACATGCAGCATATCACACACTCCTAACACCGAAGATAATATCGGACAGAAAGCACATCCAGGTAATCTTAGGACATGTTTCTGAAAGGACAACATCGGTGTTTAGTCAACCTCACCTGCATCTTTAGAGAGTTACAGCGAGGGGCACACACATACTTACTTGTGAACTGAGTGTCACCAGTATCGTTGGCCTGGGCTGTAGGAAGAAATTGTTGGCCTTCCTCTGATGTTCCTTCCTCTTTGATTTCCATTGTTAACCTTCACGGGTGTTTAATTTTCTAAGTATTCTTATCCCAATGTCACCTGCCACTGATTTCTGATTTAATATAGGTGTATCTTCTCACTAACGATCTGATTTCTCACGTTGAAATTCTGTATAAGGAAACATCACAAGCGAAGACCCCAGTTACTTTGGAATTCAATATAAAGCCAAAGATAAATAACCAAGACAGATAGAGACTACAACTGTTTCAAGTAAACTTCTTTCCTTCATATCCCACTCATACTTCGAAGAAACTTATACAATTAATGTGCTAAACACTAGGTTAGATGTGTTTTCCAAGTAATTGTTAGATAGCCACATGAGAGACTTCTAAATCCTGAAATGTATATTCTTTCTAAGTTAATTCTGTAAAACAGCAGATAGGTATCAGGGCTGCTTACTTAATATGCACCACATTTAGCAGCAAGAGCAGACAGAATCTTGTCAAGGTATTAGCATGTTTTGCAAGGTGAATATTACCATCATTTCTGCCATTAGAATTGCCCTCTGTCCTCACTCTACATCCACACTTGTTAGAACATTATTCATGACCACATAAAGATAATTTGGCATGACACTCTTCTTCTAAGATGGGCCAACAGGTTGAACAGGAGAGTTTCTATCCTTTATTACCCATAGAGTCACTTGCTGTTCTGGCTGATAAAGGTTTAATTGTTTAATGATTGGGTATATGGTGAAAAGAATGAACAATAACTCTAAAAAGCTAAAGCTCAAGGAGAAATGAAAGTAGTAGCAAATTGATGAAAATTAGCATAGGGAAAGAAAGCCTTTCCAAAAATTTATCCAGACAGCCTCAAACAGCTACAAATTCATTTCGATACTTAGCATGATGTACATGACCAAGAATGAATTGAAAAAAATCAATGTTGTTTTAAATCAAGCTATCAGCTGAATTAAAATGTGTAAAAATCTTTAAGTGTCTACCCAGTGTTGTTTAATGAGATAGTGACAATTGAGTTTGGTTTGGAATACTGATGTAGTCTCAAACTTCACAAAATCAACAGCTTCACTTTCTGTTGTTCTTCACAAAGCAGCTTAAGTTTATAATTCAGCTCCGGTCTTAAGAATCATCTTGCAAAAATTAAATCCAGAAAATGTCTCAAATCTTTAGAAAACATTACAACATAGTTGCAGATAAATACATATTGGTTTCTAATGATAAAAAGAGAAGTACTTTCTGGGGTAAACAGCTATTGGGCCATCAATGTAACACATTCAAATTTATGTTTTGAATTGTGATAATGGTCACTAATTTCTTGTTTGGATATTACATTTAGAAGCCTTTTCTGTACCAGGCAGACATGTTCACTGAATCATGCTTTCCAAAGGACAAATGCCAACAGTGGAATAATACTTGTACCATATTGCAATTTATGTGCCATTTAGCTATAAGGACTTTGTTAACTTCACTATATTTCTTGACCACAAATTCAACCTTTAGCCCTCATGAGTTACCTTCAGAGTTCGAAAGGAAACCTACAGGAGACAGTATGAATGCATCATCGAAAAACAGAAATTAAGTAGAATAATAGTGAACAATTTATGAAATAAATGTCAACTCTGTGCTTGCACTTGTGTAATTTGTGGTTGAGAAGCGAGGACTGAAGCATATTCCTCTAGCCCAAACTAGCTCAGTAATGGAAAACAACTTCAATTTTAGAGAGAGTGGAGTCAACTATACAAAATAAGCTTCGTGTAATAACCTGTGAGATTACATTTTCATTTTTCCTTTGTTGCATTGAGGATTAATTTAAGCCTTGATATACTTGTTACAAAAATACATACTTTAGAAGGAATCGGTAACAAAGCTCTGAAATGAAGAAAACAACTGCATTTCAAACTGGAAAACAGGTCATTTGCGTATCATTTTGGTGAGTGCAACAGTTCCTTTTCTGCGTCAATTTGGAAATTTTCTGGGTTTTGTGATCATGCACAAGAACAGACCATGGATTTGCAGACCACAAGTATATGTAACAGGGACAACTTTTAAGAATCTTGAGTACTCACTCCAGTTCTCACATCTTTTGTCCTACTCAGAAGAATCACAAGCCAAATGGTTACAACACCCAGAAAATATTCTTGGTTCTCTCCTGCTCCCTTACAGGAGATATATAATTGGTAGCTATAGTTCAGCTATGTGAAATAGAACACTATATCACCCTGACCCCTGGGAAAATGACATTTCCTAATATTCTGTACTCCACACTAAAAGGACAATCTGATATAAACGTAAAAAAGCCATACAAGGAGATTCCAGCTAATTAGGAAAAGAGGACTAATAGCATATGGACGTTACATGATGAATGAGTAAATGTGATGCATCCAACAACAGAGACCTGCAGTGAGATGCTGGTCCCTCTTCAGTGACAAGCAAATCACACAGCACCTTGATGTCAGGACACAGATCTGGTGCTGAGCTGCAGTACAGAAAACAATGTTACAGAAATTTCGTGAGCTGCGAAATAGCATACTTCTTTCTACCACAGTATTATATAACACAGTTCTTATCAAATCTGAGAATTTTTATGGATAAATAAGAAAGATCAAGGAACTATAAAAAATACAGAAGATGAAAGGAGGGAAAAGAGGCATCAGATCTCTTAATGGTTACATATAACAAATTGTGATAAGGGCAATCATTCCACCAGTAGTAAATAATGCAACTTATTTAAAAGAGCCTTTTCCTTACATCCATCTATAGATCCAAGATAGTTGCCATTCCTGGAAAGCAAAGGGCAAAACATTTGGACTTGAGAAAGCAGGATGTGCTGAACTGGTTTTCTCTCATTCTATATTACCGAGCTACACTTGGTTGATCAAATTCCAGAATTTTTATATGGTGAGAAGAATGTACTGCAGAAATCCATGGAACTGGAACCAGAAGTAGACATAGGTGGGACAAGGAGCCCAGGGTAGAGCAGTCACAGTCCTCTGGCGACCTGAAGGCCTGAAAGGGTGGCAAAGCCCATTGGTAGATGGGGCTGAAATCTGAAAGGGGCCACCTTTCACACTGCCCCTGTGCCAACACAGAGCTTCCTCCCCAAAGACTAAGAGGGTCCATGTGTAGGTGGACAGGGGCCAGGACTTCCATTTAAACCCAGGATTCCCTCTGCGCCTCTCCTTGCATGGATGGTCCCGAGGAGAGACTACCTGGCTTTCAATAGATAAAAAGCAGAGCTGAAACCCACCAAGTCAGCTTTGGGTTTCCTGACAAAGGAATATGACAACCCTGCAGCAGAAGTTGGGATAATGACATCCCAGCCCAAGAAGTAGATGGAAGATCTGCCTAAAACTCAGGTTTCTCTTCTATCTAAGCCAAAGTGAGGTAGTGAGACAGTACAGGCTAGGGTGAGATAAGACAGTCTATGGGTTACTCCAGCCAGGCAGGGGGTGTGACAGAGCTAGGACTGCCATTCCCTAGTGTGCAGTTACAATATCCACCCAGTAACAGTGTGAGAATTTAAGTTCCACTCACCTTTGCCACATGAGCATGTGAGACTCAGCCCACAAGTAGGGAAAGAGGAGGCCAGCTGAGAGATACTTAAACAGAATGGATGTCTTCATATATGGCTTTGATGGCTTTATGAAATATTGACTCAAAAAGTAGTGTACTGAAAGTTAAAACCACATATATTTATTTATGTTTTGTTTTCCTGTGCTTAACTAGTAGGTACTTAAAAAGTCACAGAAGGAAAAGAAGTTCCTTTCAATGAAAGTGAAACTCACCACTGGTGCCACAAACTGAAATGTTTGAATTCATTAAAATGATGTTTTATATGGAATATCTTTTAATATCTGAATGTACTTTTCCCTTTACAATAAGCAGATCAGCTGTAAACAGAATCATCTTCCAATTAGATAATAATAAATAAATGACTTAGAATCTGCCTTGAAGAAGTAATCTTAGGAGGAGAAAGTAAAGTGAATAATTAAAATAGAATATGCTAAGTGCTAGGAGAGGGGTATCAATTATCAAGGTGTGGAGCAACAGGGAGGAGAACCCAACCAAGAGTTCAAATCAATCTAGGAAGACATCGTGGGAGAGGGTCCAGGAGATTAAAGAGGTGAGAGAGGTATTGGCATTCCAAGGCAGCAGAGGAGGAAAAATAAAAGACATGGAAATAAGACAAGTTGCTGAACTGTAGGAGCTCATTTGGGCCAAATGTAAAATGTTGGTTTTTCCACTCTGTGTTTTTTTTTTTGGTTAGATTTCCTTTCTAGCAATGCCATTTTTGCAGATAAAATCAAATGATTAACATGACATATAAAAGTGATATCAGCAGAGCTACCTCGCTTGAATTGGGACTAGTAAATACAGTCTGCCTCTGCATTCACCTTTTGGCCTTATTCTTCCTCTCAGGGATTTTGTGAAATACCTTCCTGGACTCAATTTGAAGATTTCCTGAGTTCCCTCCTACCAACCCTCCCCTTCATCCTTTGGTCCCTCTCTCTCTTCCTTCCTCTTTTCCTCCTTCTTTCTATATTTGTTGTTGCTGTTTTTGTTTCTTAAATGAAATGGGAATTTCTTGCTGCCAGAGAAAGATTACAGAAATAAGCAAAGGTCAGGGAGCAGAAGCGCCTGCAGGCCAAACTAGAGACTGGGCTTACTTGTTAGAGCAGAAATAAGCCAGGTTAAATACACTTTAAGCAACAGAGTGACACAGTCATATTTAAATTTTAGAAAGTTCACCAGGAATCAAAATAAAGAACGTGCTAGGAGATGGTAATGATAAGGAAGCCAATCTATTTGGAGGCTGTTTTCACATTCCAAGGAAATAAAATAATAATGAGAGGCTACACCAAGCTAGAAATAGATGAACAGAAAAAAGAACCACAATTCCAAAGAAAATTATTAACTAAAATTAACTGGTGATAAAATCAGATGGGATATTAAGAGTTAAAATAATGAAAAACAAGAAACTTGGTGACACCCAATGTATTGTAGAACACTTCAACCATTTGGAGTATACAGGAGGAGGAATTTTAGTGAAAAATGCAAATATAGTTTTAACTATATGGTTGTGACATGAAAAGATACTTAGAAAGTAAGTGAACATACATGAGTCTGGATTCTCATGAATGACATTAA